GAGTTCTAGTCCCAGTTGCTCCTCTTCCAGTCCAGCTCTCTGCTGTGGCCCAGGAAGGCAGTGGAGGATGGCCCAAGTGCTTGGGCCCTGCACCTGCATGGGAGACAGGAGGAGGCATCTGGCTCCTGGCTTTGGATTGGTGTAGCTCTGGCCGTGGCAGCCAGCCATTTGGGGAGTGAACCAACAGAAGGAAGACCTTTCTTTCTGTCTCTCTCTCTCACTAACTCTATCTGTCAAATAATAAAAAAAAAAAAGATTGATAGAATGTATATGTTCAAGAAAATAGAGGCAAAGTTGGAGACAATGCATGAACAGATAATTTCTCCAAATGAGTTTATTTTTAAGAAGTTGCATGAAAAGTTCTAGAACTTAAAAACACAGAATGCTCAAATAATTCAATGAATAAGTTTTAAGAGAAGACAGTTGGACAGAAAATATACAGACTCAAGCACAAAAAGAGCAAAAAGGAGAAAAAGATGATAGAAAATAGAGATGATAAACAATGAACAAGTCTGACATCTGTATATATTTAAGTCCTAAAGAGAAAGAGAATAAGAGGATAGTGACCAAGAATTTCCTCAAACACATGAAGACATCAGGTCACAAAAAATTCGTGGGATTCCAGGATTGGCACCAACCTTTTTTTTTTTTTTTTTTTGACAGGCAGAGTGGACAGTGAGAGAGAGAGAGAGAGAGAGAGAAAGGTCTTCCTTTGCCATTGGTTCACCCTCCAATGGCGCACCGCGATGATCCAAAGGCAGGAGCCAGGTGCTTCTCCTGGTCTCCCATGGGGTGCAGGGCCCAAGCACTTGGGCCATCCTCCACTACACTCCTGGGCCACAACAGAGAGCTGGCCTGGAAGAGGGGCAACCGGGACAGAATCCGGCACCCCGACCGGGACTAGAACCTGGTGTGCTGGCACTGCAAGGCGGAGGATTAGCCTATTGAGCCACAGCACCGGCCACCATCCCTTTAAAAAAAAAAAAGATTATTTATTTGACAGTGAGAGGGAGAGACAGAAAGGTCTTCCATCCACTGGCTCACTCCCCAAATGGCTGCAACGGCCGGCGCTGTGCCAATCTGAAGCCAGGAGCCAGGTGCCTCCTCCTGGTCTCCCATGTGGGTGCAGGAGCCCAAGCACTTGGGCCATCCTCCACTGCCTTCCTGGGCCACAGCAGAGAGCTGGATTAGAAGAGGATCATCCGGGACTAGAACTGGAGCCCATATGGGATGCCGGCGCCGCAGGCGGAGGATTATTAACCTACTGTGCCACAGCGCCGGCTCCACCATCTCTCTTCTGAACCCAAGTAGGATGGATACGAAGAAAACCATGAAACTAGGGCAACTCAAACAGAATTAGCATTGTTCCTCAATGTCCAATGGGGACTGGTTCCAGAAGCCCTTAGGGACATCCGTATCCAAGGATGCTCAAGTCACTTGTAGAACCTGTGCACTTCCCCCATATATGTTATATAAACTCTAGATGCCCTACCCCACCTAATACAACATAAATGCCATGTAGACACTTGTAGATACTTGGCATACTGAATTTGAGGAATAATCACAAGGAGAAAATGATGATACATGTTCAATTACAGATGCCTTTTTTTTTTTTTTTTGATCTGAGGTTCGTTGAACCATGCATGTGGAACTCAGAGAGATAGAGAGCCAATTGCTTCCAAGGGGATAAGAAGGAATGATGGAAGCCAGAAGAGAATAGCAGGATATCTTTTTTTTTTTAGATCATTTATTTATTTGAGAGGAAGAGTTACAGACAGACAGAGGGAGAGACAGATCTTCCATCTGCTAGTTCACTCCTCAGATGGCTGCAAGGGCTGGAGTTGAGCTGATCCAAAGCTAGGAGCCAGGAGCTTCTTCCGGTGTCCCACATGGGTGCAGGGGCTCAAGCACTTGGGCCATCCTCCACTGCTTTGCCAGGTCATAGCAGAGAGCTGGATAGGAAGAGGAGCAGCAGGGACTCCAACCTGCGCCCATATGGGATGCCGGCGGTGCTGCAGGCTGAGGCTACTACTCCTAAGCCACAGCGCCGGCCCCACAGGGCATCTTTTCAATGCTGAACTTGCCAGACTAGAATCTAGTAAAAATATCGAGAGTAATATGAGACCTGCTTTCACAAGCAGGAATTATTCAAATGGAAGGAAAAAGCCCCAGAAGCAGAGGAATGTATATTGGGCTGGAAAGCAACGTGAAAGGGTAGGCGAATGTGAATGAGCAGTGGCTCTCCTGAGCAGTACAGTACGTATGCAGTCCTGTGTGACTTGCAATACATGCACAATTAACATGCAGAATTTACACACAAAGGGGGAAAAAGTGAGTGCCAAGTGCTCTAAGGCCTTAGTATCCCTGGGGAAGGGGTAAAGTCGTCATTTCCATTTGAGTGTGTAAGTCAAAGAGGAATGGGGTAATGTTAAAAACCAGTAAAATAACATGCAATTAATTAACAGAAGGGGTTAATGATATAATTAGGATACTTTAATTAACTGAAAGAAGGCAAGAAAGACGGGAACAAGAGGTGTCAGTGAGCCCAAACAAAATAAATGGAAAGGCGGTAGGAACATGTTTGAATCGACCAGTAATTATATTAAATGTAAATGTGCTAAAAACGTTCCCTGTTGAAACAGAACAGAGCAGTCTTCGCTGACCTAGACTGTGCATAACGCATGGTTAACAAGTACAGCTGGCCCCAAGGCAGGGATTCCCAGAGTGAAACACAGAAGGGAGAAGGAAGCTCCTGCCACCAGCCCTGGGGTGGGGTGGCGTGATGGTGCCGACTTCGGAGTCCAAGGAGAGCAAAGAAAAGCCACTTTTCAGAGCTGCTGATTGTTTTTCAACTTGCAAAAGATGGGGACTTTAATCTGTCTTTGTTGCAAAATTTTATTTTGAGAAGACCTCCTGAGAACCATTTAGTTATGCAAATGTAAAGCAAAGACTCTTTATGGGAGCTGCTTGAAAAGCTCAACTGTGCTTTTTTGTTGCAAATTGTTTTACATTCTTGCTACTGTGTGCTTAAACTCCAGTCTTTACTCAGCGATGGTTGTGGAAGCCTTCTTCCAAATGATCCAAAAGCAAACACAACTCCTTCTGTATCATTTTTCCTATGAAGACCACACACTCTTTGTCTCCCAGGAAGAACTCGCTTTCTATCCAAAGGATTTATATCTGTCATCTTCTGTAAACAAAAGCCCCTTGCCCCTTATTCTACTAAAGAGATTTTTTTTCTCCCTTGGATATGTTTTTCTTACAAACAGGTTCCGTTTTGCACGTGATTCACGCAGAACAGAGCTCAGCGTTCTCGTAGATGATCTTGTGTCTCTTAATTTGGGGCTGGGGCTTCTGTGAGCAAGCCTCACCACGTCGCGCTGGGTTATTGAGTGGGCGGCGCTGCAGTCTGCAAAGGTGGGCTTTTAGGTTATTGAGTAGGCCATGCGGACGTCCAAGGTTCCAGGTTGCTGAGGTGCGGTGAACGAGACAGGGCTTAGCGGGAAGTGGAAACCCCGGCTTTCCAGTGGCTCCAAAAACGCTCATCGGTGGGGTGGGCATTTCTCAACAGCTTGGCGTGCCTGAGTTCGGTTCCCAGCTTTGCTTTCCCAGCTGCCTCCAGATGTGCACTCTGGGAGGCAGCAGGGGGTGGCTCAAGTGCTTGGGCCCTGCCACCCAGGTGAGCAGCAGGGGTGTGAGTTCCTGGCTCCTGGCCCAGCTCTGCAAGGCGATATTTGGAGAGTGACCCAGAAGTCGGAAAGTCTCTCCCCTATATATATATATATATATATGTGTGTGTGTGTGTGTGTATACATATATATTCATGTGTGTGTGTGTGTGTGCATATAAAGGTTCATCCAGGGGCCAGCGGTTGGCCCAGCTAGGACGACTGCATTCTGCTTTCAGAGTGCCTGGGTTCGAGTCCTGCTCAAGTACTTGGGTCCCTGTCACCCAGGTGGGACGCCTGGATTGAGACTCCTGACTCCCACGCATTTGGAGAGTGGAGATGAGAGCTCTAGGTCTCTCTGCCCCTCCAATAAACAAGAATTTTCCCAAAAGATTATTTTCTAAATGCCCACTCGGGGCATTTTATTTTATTTTATTTCTTAATGTTGCTAGTGAATGTTACTTGTACACCACTAGGCTGGGCACTGGAGACGCAAAGCCGTTTGGTGGAAGGGTATTTCCTGGGAGTATTCCCGTAAATATCCACACACACACACACACACACACACACACACACCCCAGTACCACACAAGTTCGGAAAAGGAAGCAAACCCCTCAGGTAGGGCTGGGAGCCCGAGGGCAGCCCTGAAAAGCGAGCGGGACGCCGCGAAGAGCGAGGTGTCGGGCGGGCGAAGGCACGCACTCCCCGCCACCCCTGCAGGCCGTGAGGGTGTCACCTCTCCCGTGGAGGGCGAGGGGCGGGAGGAGGAGAAGTATGACTCAGTCTCTGCCTCCCGGAGTTCCGACTCGGAGCGAGACGAAGACAAAGAACACACCGCGCGCGGCCAGCCGGAGCGGCCGTGACCGGGCGGCGGGCGGCCCCCGCGTCCGCACCGCGCGGCAGGGCGGCGCCACCTGCGAGCTCAGGTGTGTGCAGCCGGGAAGTGCCGCGCCCGCCCGCTCGGGCCTCGGGGGCGCCCCGGCCGCCGCGCCGGCCCTCAGCGCCCTCCGGCCGTGCCGCGGGGGGCAGGCCAGCTGCGGGGCCCCGCGCCCGCACGAGCCGGACGCGTGAGAGAGGCGCGCAGCTGGGCCCCCGGGCCCCGCCAGGTCCTCCGCCCACTTTGGCTTTGGCCTTTTGTACCGGCCCCACGTGACCCGCCCGGCCGGCTCTTCCCTCACGGCCCGCCCCGCCCTCTGGCCCTTCCCGGCTCGCGGCCCCGCTCTTCCCGCTCTTCGGCCGCGCCCCCGCCCCCGCCCCCGCCTCGCCCGCCTCCCCCGCGCGCCGCCCGCCCGGGCTCTTCCCGCGCCCTCCCCGCGGCGGCCGTTCCCTCGCCACGCCGCCCCTCCCCCCGCGGCTGTTCCGCCGCCTCGCCGCCCCTCCCCCCGGCCGGAGCTCACTGTCTCCAAGATGGCGGCCGTGTCAGTTTGGGGCATCTCCGCGGTCCGGCCCGGGGCCCCGGGATCCCGGCTCTCTTTCCCCCCGGTAAGTAGCCGCGGGGCCGGCCCCCGGCCGCCCCCGGCCGCCGAGCCCGAGGCCGCGCCGCTCGGGACCCCGCTCCGCCGGCCTCGCGGGGCCGCCGGGCCGCTGCAGGCCCCGCCGCGGCCTGCGCCGCCTCCCGCTGCTCTGCGCCAGGCCTCGGGCTGTGGGGCGCCGCGGCCCGGCTCCCTCGCGCCCGGGGCCGGCGCCCGGCTCCCCTCCCTCCCGGCTGCGCGGCCCCGCGCGCGCGCGCGCTCGCGGCTGCGGCCCCCACCCAGCACCCCCGCCCCCCGTGCGGGGCTCGGCGCGGGAGCCCGGCGGGCGGCCAGGCCGCGGGAGCCCGGGTGCGCCGGCGAGCCCGCTCCGCCTGCCTCGGGGCGCGCCCACCGCCGCGGCCCCACCTGCGCCCGCCGCGCTGTCGGCTGGCGCTCGGGCCCCGGCGCGGGCCGGGCCGGGCCGCGGCGCGCGGGGGTGACAGGCGGGCGGTGTTGTGGTGCGGAGGCGGCGGCACGTGCGGCGGGGTGGTGACTGCTGGCTGTCAGCCCCGGCCCGGGCCGCTGTCAACCCTGGAGCCGGGGGCGGGCGGGGGGCGACGGGGCTGCAGGACCTGCCGCGCTGCCCGGCGCCCGGGGCCGGCCTGGAGCTCGGGGTCCTGGGGAGGGGGGCGCGCGGAGCTGAAACTCCCTTCACGTGATTTCATTGTTAAACTTACTCCTCGGCTTCTGTTTGCATCGCGTGGAGGCGGTGGAGCAGCCCGCCAGCCAGCAGGCTGCAAGGGTGCTGCTGCAGTCTCAAGTTTTCTAAAGTTTCTCACCGTTCAGAGAGAGCGCGCGAAGATGCGCTCCAGGGCTTGGGAAGCGGGGCCCCGGGGGCCCTCGGAAAGCGGGCGCCCTCCGGCCGCGCGGGAGCTCTGTCGGAGCCCGGGTTCAAGTCCGCGGGAGACGCGCGCGCAGGCCGGCCGGCCGGACAGCGAGGAGCTGTCATTCATTCCTGCACCTGCCGGCCTGTCGGCTCAGGTGGCAGCTCCGCAGCCGGCCCCTGTGCAGCTCTGGCTGTCTAGTGGCTTTTTTTTACTTTTTATCTTTTGGAGTGGTCCTCTGATTCCGATCCCTCGCCAAGAGGAAGCGTTGTGGCGCTCTCAGGGGCTTCCTTTTTAGCGAACTGATTTTGAAGCAAGCCTTGGCTCAGGTTTGACGTTTCCTCAGCCTTGCCTTGTGCCAGCGCTAAGGCTGTACCTGTCTCCTTTGGGTGTTCTTGCCACCTGCAAGAACAGTTGCTGTTGGACCCAGTTTTCTAGCCCAGAACTTCCAGAAAACTGTTAAAACTTCTGCTTTTTTTTTTTTTTTGAGGCAAGGAATTAGTTAAGTCCAGAATGCATCATTTTAGTGACTTAAGAAAAACTCGTGTGAAAGCATGCCGGCTTTGACACCCCTCTCCAGGAGACAGTGTGTTTATATGTGTGTTTATATGTTTACTTATTGCTCCTGAATGGTCATTTCGAGCAGCAGCCCTGAACTTACAAGCTTTATCCCGTCTGACTTTTCTGTACTGTCGCGTGAGCATTTAACCCGGTGATTCTGGGTCTTTCTCACGTCTAGTCCCCGTCTTCTCCAGACCGCTTAGGAGCAGTTGGGCGGTCACTACCCCCTCCAGCCTGTGGATGTCAGTGTCCTGGTTTGGGTTAGGGGACATCCTCAGCCTGGAACTCTGGACATTGGAACGAAATGGGACTGTTTTACAATTCTTTAAGCAGTCTCACAGCAGACTGTTCTCAGTGTTGTTCCAGTTTGCAAAGTTCAATCAGGTAATACTGTACTTCAAATGTGAGCGAATCGCATTTGTTGTGTCCTTTGATATATTAGTGAACAGTTTCTTAGGGGTTTTCTGCCTGTGTTACTGTTGCTGTCCGCTCTGAATGTCTGGAATTTTTGCAAGATGAAAGACTCACTCTTATTTCATTGCAGGGTTCTTTCTACTAATCCAGATACTCGTTGAAGTGCTGAATAGTTTCTTGGGGAAAGATGTAAAGGAAGAGTTGAAGTTCATAGACTGGTGAGCAGAGATTGGCGAGCGCAGAATAGCCAGCACCCCTCTGGTTGGGTGGAGCTTCAGGTCATTCATGGAACATCTCACCTCGTCTCCTCATTGTATCCTAAATTTTTTTTTTTAATCCCAGCGGTGTACATACATGATTGTTTGGGAATGTAACAGAAGGGAGTGAAAGCCTTCACAGTACCCAGTAAACATTTGTATTCGATTGCTTTAAAGTCTAGGGTGTTTGAACCATAGCTCATCGACGCTACAGGCCTCGACAGAAAACTGATGGTGTTTCCATTGTTTTTCAGGCATAGGATGCACATTGCTCTGCTCTGAAGGCGGGAATGCGGCGTGTTGAATTCTACAGCTTGGCCAAGAGTCCCGCCGGTGGTGCTGTTGACAAGTTTATTGGGAAGCATGAAGGCGTTCCACATGCCAGGCTGTGTTGGTTTCTGAAGGAAAAGGAAAGGGGCATTCCGCTGGCGTGAACGGAGGAAGGACCCAGGCCAGAAAACTTGTATGCTATGGTTAGCTGGTTCCCAGCCTCCGAGAGTCGTGTTTCCCATGGCGTAGGACTCACTCAGCATCAGGATAAGGGATAGCGACTCTATGGATGTACAGAACCCTTCACCATGGTAAAGCTCGCTAACCCGCTGTACACGGAGTGGATTCTGGAGGCCATCAAGAAAGTGAAGAAGCAGAAACAGCGTCCGTCGGAGGAAAGGATATGCAACGCGGTCTCGTCATCCCACGGCTTGGATCGGAAGACCGTCTTAGAGCAGTTGGAGCTCAGTGTTAAAGATGGAACGATTTTAAAAGTCTCCAATAAAGGCCTCAATTCCTACAAAGATCCTGATAATCCTGGGCGAATAGCACTTCCTAAACCTCGGAACCATGGAAAGTTGGATAGCAAGCAGAATGTGGATTGGAATAAACTGATCAAAAGGGCGTTTGAGGGCTTGGCAGAGTCTGGTGGCTCCACTTTGAGAAGTATTGAACGTTTCTTGAAAGGGCAGAAGGATGTGTCTGCGTTATTTGGAGGCAGCGCTGCCTCTGGCTTTCACCAGCAGTTACGATTGGCCATCAAGCGTGCCGTTGGCCACGGCAGACTCCTTAAAGATGGACCTCTGTATCGGCTCAGCGCTAAAGCGAGCAGCCCGGAGGGGAAGGAGACGTGTGAGTCTCTTTCCTGCTTACCTCCGGTGTCGCTCCTTCCACACGAAAAGGACAAGGTAAGAGCGGTTGGTAGGCATCAGCGATCCTCCAGCTGGGGATGCAGGCCTGCGACAAGGTCACGTTCTGAGGGTGTTGACACTCACATGGAAGCCATATCCAGGTTTTGTGTGTGGGGACCTCTGTGGAGGGATCATGTGTGGTTGGTTATCATTGTGGCTGTGAGAACTTTAAATAAAGGTGCTGATGGTTCCGTTACTCTGAAATATTTGAAGCCTAAGATTCAAGGTGTAGAATGTTGATCTACCTGGAAGAACTTGTTTAGATTAGAATTAAAAATTGACAAATGACTTTAAGACTTATACATAAAAATTCTTAGGCGATCTGCCTAAGACAGTGCACTGCCTTGCTGAGTGGCCAGGTGCTGTAGTTGATGTGAATTTGAAACAAGCAGATGACTCCCAGAGCCTGTCTCTGTGTCTGCCCTCTTGTTGCAGGTTTGCATTAGGAGTGAGAGGATCTAATGCCCCGTGGGGGTGGCTCAGCCTACTTGGCGTTCTTGTTTCAGCTGTTTGCCGTACAGATTTTGTCTTGTGTTCTGGCGTCTGCGTGCGATGAGGTCCTCATGTTATGGAAGGCAGCTCTAGTTACGGGGCAGCCACACAGTGTCCTGACTCACAAACGTTCTGGAGAGCTCGGGTCTGGTGCACGGAGGGGAGGCCTTACAGCGCTGTGCGTGCCATGCCCGCACGCTGTGCAGCTGACAGGATGGTGTCTCTGCGGTAACTTTGGCTGCTACAAGATAATTTGGGAATGAGGAGAATTTTGTCAGTAGCCGGTTCCCCCCACCCCCAACACTGACTTAATAGCTGTCAATTTTATTTCAAGTGCTCTGAGTTGTAGTTCTTTGGGGAGCTCTGTTTTGGAGTTGGGTTCGCCCTGTGAACTTGGAATAGAAGCATTATCTATGGTTGTGACTGTTAAAGTCTTTCTCATAGCATCATGAATGGGTAGAGTCCCATTCACCAGGCAGTTGTGGGGCACTCCTGTGTTTATGGAGGAGTGTTGATGGACAGGCCGCCAGCATGCTCTGTCTTGTAGTTCCGTGCTGTGGGAACCTGACCTGCTAAGAACCGTTCCCTGGTCATGTGGCTGAAGCTGAATAAAATGTAACAGCTGGATTCCTACACCTGTTACCCAGTGATTTCACAGGCTAACTGCTTGGAAGCGGGAAACTATAGTGCCGTACCTGTGAGTTGAATATTGTTAAGTTCTTGTTAGAGCACTTGGGTATTTGCTTTTCTAGTAATTCCCTTACTTGAATTAAATCTTTTAACTTTTGAAATATTAGTCGGACATAAAAACGTGAGTTGGGTGTCCATTTAAAAGATAGTCGGTATGGTACAGTGAGGGAGAAGCCCCGGCACCCCGGGGTTGGACTTTTGAAAGGCAGCGTGGGAACCAAGGGGTCCAGCGAGCCTGGTTTTGCAGCTGAGCCTACGCCCTTTGCTGAGGCCATTGCCTGGCTGGCACCTTTGTATTTTAAGTTCGATTCAGTAAAGATCTGCTGGTTCACTTTGGTTAGAGAAACCTGACTGATTTCCCCGCTTTAATACATAGTATTGTTAACTGAAGTAACTAAGTGTAGAGTTTGCACTGGGGAAAATTGAGTTTCACTGAGTAGATGGCTTGTGGGTGCTGTTGTCTTTGGAAAGCTGATTTTATGATAACATCCTTAACGTTAGAGTTGATGAGATTTGTTCTTTGTATTTATTTGAGAGGCGGAGGGAGGGAGGGCGGGCGGAGGGAGGGAGGTGCTCACAGGAGCAGGAGTGCATGCTTTCTCGGCTTGTTTACTCCTCGGGTGCCAGCCTTGGCAGGGTGCGGCTGCAGGAGTGGAAGCTGGGCGCCTGGAGCTCAGTCCAGGTTTCCCACGTGGGTGGCCGCATCCCAACTACTTGACAGCCAGAGTGTGCAGCAGGAGGAAGCTGGAGTCAGGAGCTGGGGGTGGGCTTGGACCCAGACACTGCCAGGGCGCAGATCTGTCCACCCGTGTCTTGGTCCTTGAGCCAGAGGCCCCCCCCCCCCCCGTTCTTTATTTTTCAGTGAGGTCTTTGAGGAAAGGTTTCCGAGTGACTCTCGCCAAGCTTGTGGAAAGCTCACACTCAGTCCTGACGCAGTGGACTCCGGGGGCGGGGTTGTTCCTCCGATGAGCATGCCCTGTCTGTGCCTTTATTGTGTTTCCACCGTTTTCCATCCCTTCCTTCAGACCAGCCAGCCCGTTCCTTTGCAGAATTGTTTGGCTTGCTGTTACGAACACAGAGAACCTTAAGTAAATAAACAAAATCCAGAGTTTATTTGACAGTGCTGGAGAAAGGAAGTACTTTTACTTTTAGGCATTAATTAATTCAGCAACTAGTTGCTGAGTGCTGCTGTGGGCCACACACTGTGCTGGGACTGAGATGGCTTTGTTTTCTCTGCAGTGCCGTCTTACCTGGCTGCTGTAGGGTGGGTGATGTGGAGTGGCCGGAGCCGGGGCCTGTTTACTTTTTCCTGTATCAATTCTGTTTACTTACTTGTGATACTAACTTTCGGGGGGACCTGTAGAACCTGTTAGATTTTTAGCAGCTAGGTTATTTTTGTTCTTTTGGGGAGATCAACTGTACAGAAGTATTTTTAAGAGGCATTTTTGAGAATATCAGTGAACTTCAGTGTGTTCTTACATTAAATTTCCTTCATTATTTTTTATTTATTTGAGAGACAGCCTGCCATCTGCTGGTTTACTGCCCAAATGCCGACAGTGTCTGGTGCCACGCTGCGGCTGCAGTTCTGGTCTCCCACGGGCATGGCAGGAACCCAGCCACTTGGGCCATCACCACTGCCTGCTCTGGTCTGCAGGCAGGAAGCTGGTGTCAGAGAAGTCTGAGCTGGGAGTCAAATCCAGGTGCTCCCATGTGGGTCGCGGGCACCAGTCGCCAGGCTAAACGCCTGCTCCCTAGTGTATTTTCACACTGAACAGTATGGAGGTGGGGCCAGCGCGGTGCGGCAGGTGAAGTTGTGGCTTGCGACTCTGGCGTCCCATCTCAGAATGCTTGTTGGAGTCCTGACCACTCTGATTTGGATCCAGCTTTCTGCTGATGGATCTGGGGAGGTGCTGGAGGATGGCCCAAGTGCTTAGGCCCCTGCAACAGATCTGAGAGACCTAGATGGAGTTTTTGTCTCCTGGCTTTGGGCTGGCTGTTGCGGGTACTAGTGGAGTGAACCAGCAGATGGAAGATCCCTGTCCCTCCCTCTCCCCCACTCCCCTTCTACCCTCCTATGTCTGCCTTTGAGAGAAATAAATTTCTTTTAAGATTTATTTTTTTATTTATTTGAAATGTGGGGTTACAGTGAGAAAGAGAGAGAGGTCTTCCATCTGCTGGTTTTGCTCCCCAAATGACCATAACAGCCAGGACTGTGCCAGACCGCGCTTCCTCCAGGTCTCCCATATGGGTGTAGGGGTCCAAGCACCTGGGCCATCCTCCACTGCTTTCCCAGGCACATTAGCAGGGAGCTGGATCGGCAGTGGAGCAGCTGGGACTGGAGCTGGCGCCCATATGGGATGCTGGCATCTCAGGCGGCGTCTTTACTCACCATGCCACAATGCTGGTCCCATAAATCCTTTTTTAAAGTAAAGTATGGAGGAGAATCTAAGACACTGTGACTTAACAGTTTTATCCCTGTGATAAGATGAATTTCTGAGCTGCCTGTAGGGTGTGTGTTTAACTGTGTTTGCTGTATGTCAGGTGTCACTTCAGTGCCCTTTCCCTTGGGGGCGCATTCCCAGACGCCCAGTGAATGTCTGAAGACTGGCTCCCTGGCAGCTGATGGTTCTGCTTAGGAGCACACAACTTCTGAGGGTCTGCAGTGTCACAAAAGCCATATGCATTCAGGGGAAACTGTACTTCATAGTTTTAATTTGGATGTCTTCTGCAGGCTAGTGATCTTTGGTGTGATGATTTTTTGCAGTGCTGGTCGGTGTAACATCTCCTAAGACCCAGGTGTGTGCTGTGTTAGGTGCATTAGACATGTTTTGATTTATGGTCTTTTCAGTTTTGTTGGGTTTCTTGGGATGCAGCCCCTTCATAAGTAGAGGAGCCTCTGTGTGTACCATGTTTTTCCCCATACATACATACATACATACCTGTGATAAAGTTTGTTTTATAAATTAGGCACAGTAGGAGATTAACAGAGATGACTTTATTATAATTGAACCAGAACAGCCACAGTAGTATAATCTAATCAAAGTTATGTGAAATTTTATGAGTTATTTATTTCTGGAATTTTCCATTCAGTATTTTTGGATCACAGTTGACTTGGGCAGTTCAAGCCATGGAAAGCAAAATGCAGATAAGGGGAGGACTTCTGCGTACAGATCGAGTTGTGTGATCCTCATATAACTAGCGTGACTCTGTGGGCACCAGCAGTGAGTAGCAGCTGTGCCTGTCCAGATGAAGATGCTGAGTTGTGAGAGATTCGCAGTGACTGGCACAAGTCACAGGAGTGTGAGAGGGAGAGCTGGGACTTGAACTGGGGCAGTCCGTGCCTCCCACCTCTGGGAAGTAGTGCGGTGTGATGCCTGCCAGTGCACTCAGGACCAGAGTTGCGAGTGTCAGCTTCATAGTGCATTTCCCCTTTCACTGTGTCCCTCTTTGCCTCTCTGTATCATAAAACAGATTCTACAACAGACTTTGGATCAGTGATAAGAATGTGTCAGGAACCAAACATGAATAATACAGTTTTGTATTCCTGAATGATGTTTTGTTTTATCTTTCTGTTTTTTTCCTCAAACACAAACACAATTCTTATGCTTACTAATTTTCAGTTGTCACCAGAGTTCTGATTTGCAGTTTCGGCCTTGGTTGCATGGGTGTACTAGGGTTTGAATTTGGAACAAAATGTTGCTTCCTTGATTTGGGATAGAGGTGAGGATGAAGGTGTGTAACTGGCTAAAATAGCACCTTTCTCATATGTTTCTTTTGTCTTGAAATATTACTGTACAACAGCTTGTTTATTCACT